AATGAACCTAAACAGCTGTTGCATGCAAAAAAATATCATGGTGTCTGTCTTTCAGTATTGGGAAATTCTGCCATGGCAGAGGAATTTTGCTTTTGCCACTAAGAGGCTGAGGAGTCTAAGGTTGGAAATCAGCATCTCTAACTTAGAGAGAGAAGGATAAATTGTATCAAAGGGATTTGTGCACCTTCTGACTTTCTTTGCTTATTACATTGTGGATTAGGGACTGTTGATGAATGAAACTACCCTAGACCTGAGCAAAACAATCCCACTTTTCTACTCTCCTCTAACACACACACACAGATTCTCATCACTTCAGAGTAGCTCTTGCTTTTGCCTCAACTCATGGGAAGTTCTTAGGACTTACCATGAAGCTCTCGGTTGATGAAGGATCCTGGGTCTGAGGAATGCTTATATGAGCCCAGCATCCTTGCAGGCTAATCATCCTTGGAATCCGGGAACCATCCAAGTTTTCCGGCATCCTCTAAATGCAAAGTGTGGTGTGTGACTAAATTATTTCTAAAATCATCAGGGTGCTAATTAAGATGAAATTTAAAATGAGCAAAAAAATGGGCAAGGAAATTACAGAAGCAAACTTGGCACACAGGGGTCAGCGGGCTGCGCCATGAGATGCGTCAAGCTTCCTAGTAATGCCTGACAGGAGGGCAAGTTGAGAACAGTATATAGTTCAGAACAGAGCCGGTAACTTACAGACCATTTCAAGAATTTTGCATGAAAGTTTCATTTGAAGACCCTTAACTTTCTGTTCCCAGAGCAGGGAGCCACCTCAGCACACATTCTCCAAAGATTCCTTCTTGATTAGAACTTTGCAGATCAGTTACTTGGAATCAAAACTTTTCAGCACTTCCTCTTTGAACCTTTTAAATTTTGGTGGTTTCTTTACATACTCATTGAACTTTATGGTCATGATGTAACTGACAAATGGGAAAGCAGTAAAAAGTATTCCATTATTAAGGCCATTTAGTGCATCTATTGTATATGGAATCTTTAGATTGATAAACTAATAAGAATATAGTCTTTAAAAAAAAGGTACAATTGAATTTAAACTCAAGACCGTTTATTACTATATGTGACTTTTGAAAATATCCTCAACCTTTCAATGACTTTCCTTCTCTTTCCTCAGCTGTAAAAATGTGATAACGGTACCTACATCTTAGAGTTGTGATAAAGATGAAGCAAGAACTTCTATAAAAGCATTTTATGCAGCAAATGTTTAGATCATTCATTCCTTTTCTTGTTAACTATGATCCTATGCATATTTAGAGGCAGTAAGAATGTATCCTCAAATTAATCACAATAATACATATTACCAGGTCTTGCATAATTGCCATGTGCCATTCATTTTACCATTAGTTAAAAAAAAACACTTGCCTTAAAACATAATAGTGTATTATTATTTTTTAAAATTGAGTTCTTAAAAAAAACTGAGTTCTGTTTTCAGAACTTTAGCAGGTGAAAATACTGTTTATACTCTATATCTGAAAAATGGAAGGCCCAAATACTGATAATGTTGACAAGTCTAATAAAATATATGAGTTTTTAATATATCAGTCAGTTGCAATTGTTTTGACACACTTTTCTAAGAACTACTTAAAAGAATACTTTCTGTATGTGTGATTGGTAGTGTTCTTAAAAACCAACTTTTTAAATGGTTGGGATTTTTTTGTTTGCATACATCTAGACCTATGTATGAATATAGATATGTCTATATTACATAGATACAATAAATTACATAGATATAATAAATTAATGTTCAATACAATTAATATTCATTTCAAGCTTTTGAAATTTAATAAAATATTGCTGAATTTGTCATACTTGCTTGTTATTCTATAAGGTACTTGTTTAATTCCATAATTATAGGCTCCTTTCTAGTTGGTCATTATTTAAAATATATGAATACATTTTAAAAATATTATATTACAGGAAAGTGTTGTGAAAGCTTTGAAAATTTTTATTTTCACAATTTGAAAAATTACTTTCTAGCCTAATCTTGCTAGACATTGTGTCTTTTTTTTTAAATTAAATTATTTTTTATTATGAAAGACATTGTGTCTTTTTTATTAACCTTCCTGCTTTTCCCTAGAAATGATGGTAGATGAATAATGCTAAACATCAGGTTTAAAATTACTGTGCTGACTTCAGTGACTAATAAGGATCAGTCACACATAGGGGACATAGGGAAACACCATCTTTTGCTTGACATTACCAAAGTTGTTCTTTTTGAAGGTTACCATTTTTAGAGCGGTTTTTCATTTATAGCAGAATTGAAGGGAAGACACAGAGATTTCCCATATACCCCTTACCCCCACGCAGGCATAGCCTCCCCCATTATCAGCATCCCCATAAGAGGGGTATATTTCTTACAACTGGTAAGCTACATTGACACAGCATTATCACCTAAAGTTAATCATTTACATTAAGAATTGCATTCTCAGGGTTTGGGTAAATGAATACTATGTACCCATCACTATAGTATCTTACAGAATGGATTCTCTGCCCTGAAATTCCTCTGTGCTCTGCCTATTCATCCTCCCTCATCCATAACTAACCCCTGGCAACCACTGAACTTTTTACTGTCTCCTCAGCTTTCCCTTTTCCGGAATGTCATATAGTTAGAATTATGCAGTATGTGGCCTTTTCAGATTGGCTTCATTCACTTAGTCATATGCATTTAAGGTTCCTTTATGTCTTTTCATGGCTTGCTAACTCATGTCCTTTTTAGCACTGAATAACATTTCATTGTCTAGTTGTACCACATTTTATTAATCCATTTACCTACTGAAGGACATCTTGGTTGCTTCCAAGTTTTCGCAATTATGAATAAAGGTGCTTATAAACACCTGTGTGCAGGTTCTCTATGGGGATATAAGTTTTCAATTGCGTTGGGTAAATAGCAAGGAGCATGATTGCTGGATCATATGATAAGACCGATGATGTTTTAATTGCAGCTACAGATGCCCGTAGTGGAAAAAATCGCACCAATGGCTCGGATGAAGAACAAGAAGGGACCAGTGCGGTTAACCAGAATGTGGTGCGGGCCATAGCTGGGAATCAGTTCATTTTGAAGACTAGTGGGACAATGCTGTCTTACTTGGTATGCTGCACATGTCTCTCATTTCTTTTTTATTTTGTGTCTTTTCTCATCTTCTGCTGGGCTCGTTCTTACGTTCACCTATCAGAACCCACCCTGGAGCAGGCAGGGAGATTTCTGCCTTACTGCTCAATGCTGGAAGGAGTCATCGTGAGGCTGACAGCTGTGGAGGGAAGTGGTGCAGGTGAGGCTGCACACAGTCAGACAGGGTTCTGGCTGCAGAGAGAGAATCACAGATCAAATTCGGGCAGTCTCAGTGGTGCCGAGTTCAAGACTCAGAATACCAGGAAAGAGGCGAACTTGGGAAATCTGAGATTATTGCAGAAGATTAGAGCAAGGCTCCCTCTGGTGGGAGGGTTGAGCTGTGTTTCTTCTGTGTATTTATTATTCATACGGTGTCTGCCTCCAAAAAAAAGATTGAAGAGGGCTGGTCGCTTGGTAAACATCTGTAAGCAAAAGACTTCTCAGCTTTTATAGGCTCCCAGAGCCCCTAAGCACAGTTGTTTGGCTCTGTTCTTAGCACAAACTCTGTGGGTTTAAAGAGGAGCTGTTCCAGGAATACAACCTCTGATTCACTTGAAGTATGATCCATCTCTGTTCCTTGATGCGCCCTGACTGTCCCTTTTTCAAGATAGGGCTGCATCCTCCAGCTTAATTTAACTTAGCATTTCAGTGTAGAATGTATCCTGCAAAGAACACACCTAGGCTCTGTCCTGGAAAGGCAACATCAACATCTAACTCTTCTTTGCTGGATGACTTTCTCCTCTTCCCTCCAGCACTTGGACACCCCCTATCCCCAGTACACCCCCATGAGAGATGGAGGGCAGAGAGGTAAGAAAGAGGAAAGACATTTGAAAGCTGACATCACTCATTCTGCAGTGTGATAAATATTGGGTTTTATGACCTCCTCCACCTTTCTAATGTCCATCTTACCAAAGTTAGCTGCTTGAGGTGGCGTATGCCTTTCACATTGTTATTTGATCTAAGGGCAAATGCCCAAAGCTCACCTGTTAGAAGATATGCCCTGTGAAGTTATATCTAAAGATTTTGTACATTGTTGTCACCATACTCAGACAAACTAACGGTAAAGTAACTTCATGAGCCCTATCATTCTCATCCGAAACCAACATTCCCCTCACACACTGACAAATACCTCATTGCAATTTCACGACTACATTTCACTGGATATTAGCTACGCCACATGAACCAAGGGTGCAGCCACATATTGTTCTTTGTGTTGATTTGATGAGTAACAGAAAGTGTGCTCAGCATTCTAAAATGAACACTTGTGGCCAAAGTATTAAAGCAAATAACTTGAACCCCCACACCCACACCCCCAGGAAAACATAAATCGTGGTTAAAGTCCCATTACAGAGGACTCCACTAAATTATGGATTTGATTAATTTGCTGAGCAGTTCATGATCCTTATATTATACTTTGGACTCTGACAAAGGAGCTAAATCTTGAACAGTTAGGGTGTGCCTGGAACCCAGCCAGGCTAGTTCTCTGCTACAAGACTCTGCTATAAGTTGTCTTGTGTCCAGATTGAAGGAGAAATATTTGGCGATCTTAGCAGCATGGGGGACCCTTGTTATCATTGAGATCGGAGGAGGGGTGGTCAAGGTCACAGGCAGACCACCAGACCAAAGTGCTCCTGAGATGGAGGGTTCCCACAGTGATGTGGCTGAAAACCTGCCTCAAATAACTACTGCCCTGAGTAAGCCCCTTTGCTGAGCACCCCAGACCTGGGAAAGGCAGAGTTCCTGGGAAAAGATCCCCAGCCAGGGAAGAAGTACAGTTACTGTGTTCTAAGAGATTAGCATCCCTTAAACTTTCAATGTTCCTGCTGCTCAACGTCTTCCCCTGCATTTGTCTCCCAATCTGCCTGCTTCCAGCCCTACAAGCAGTACAACATGCTGAATGCCGACACAACCCGAAACCTCATGATTTGCTTCCTCTGGATCATGAAAAATGCAGATCAGAGCCTCATTAGGAAGTGGATTGCTGACCTGCCATCGATGCAACTCAACAGGATTTTAGACCTCCTTTTCATCTGTGTCTCATGTTTTGAGTACAAGGTAAGTTGTGGAGTGCCTCAGTTTGACACTAGCTCTCATCTCCAAAGTTCCATCCTGTTTTGTTGCTGCTCCTCTTCGCTTGGGCAGTGGAGGCAGCAGTACTTTTTTTTATTTCTGTGTTAAAATCCGTAACCTATTTCTATCTGTATAACCTACCTAGATATGATAATTCCACAGGGAAAGGATCCCTGCCATCTGCAGAGAGGCACCATATCCCTGTTAACAGGATTTCAGTCAAGGGATCCCCGAGAATAGCATTTCTGGGGAGCACATGTCCAAACTGGGTGATGTCACCATGGGTGCCCTGTGTTGAGGATTCTCCCCAGGGGCAGAGATCTCACCAAACTAAGTGTCTTTCTGTCTCTTCCCTGTCCAGGGAAAGCCAAGTTCTGACAAAGTCAGTACCCAAGTCCTGCAGAAGTCGAGGGATGTCAAGGCCAGGCTGGAAGAGGCTTTGCTCCGCGGGGAAGGCGCCAGAGGGGAGATGATGCGCCGGCGGGTTACAGGTGTGTTGAATCTGCCCTGCTCTGCCTTCTGTCAGAGTTCTGCACCTTTTGTGGGAAGCAATGTCCTCCCCACGTGAATAGACACCATCACTTTCTTAAGACATTACGGTAATAGAGATAGGCACGTTCTGGGATTCTGTGCATGAGGTGTGTCATGTTCGCCCGTGCCTCTAAGGGACAGCTGCCTTCCTGAGACCACAGGGACCCTGGGAATGCCTCCCCAAATGGCATCTTCTATTTAAAACTTGTCGGCGATAAAAGGTCACATCCAAGCATGTAAGTCGTAGGGTGAGATGAATGGTGTCTTGCTCAAGGCCAAGCCTCTCCACGGGATATTTGACTAGCCTGCATAGAGCAAAGTCAAGGCAATAGATGGTTCTGGTTCCAAGATCATCTCCCCAAATCACTCAGGGCACTGTTAGAATGGAACCAATCCACCCGATGGTCTCAGAGGGTTTCAGTCCTCCAGGGATCCTACCATACTAGGAATGACCTCAAAAAAGCTGAGCTCATCACTGTGGAATAGAGCGAAGTGTTCACCCACCCTCGGTCTTCTTTACTGTGTTAAGGTAAATCAGAGTGACTGCTCATTCTGTGCAATGGGACACAGTGGCTGGGAACTTGAAGGGAGCTCGGCTTTTTCAGGGACGGTTGAGCACCTTCATTTGACACCCCCATTATCCTTTTCAATAACTCAGCGAGAACCTCCAGAGTTTCACTGGAGCTCTGTGTTCATGAGAAACATGGTCACCAGCACTCCAGAGAGGCAGGGGTTCTTCTAAAGCTCTAGCTTATCAATCAAAAGCAAGCCAGCCTGCCATGGACATGGGCTTTGTCTCCTTCCAGCATCCAGCATGGACTCTAATTAGCCAGAGAAGTAGCGCTGAGGCCTCTTAGTTGAGCTTGTTATGGAACGTCTGGTTATCTTGGAGAGTTTCGTGCTAATCAAATTCCTATCATGCATTTCTTAACTCCTAGGGAATGACCGATTTTCATGCCTAAGTGAAAATTTGAGATGGAAGAAAGAGCAGACACATTGGCGGCAAGCTAATGAGAAACTAGATAAGTGAGTCACTCAACAACTTTGTGCTACTTTTACCTAAAGTTCCAAACTATTTTTCCCAGGCTACTTGTATTACTGAAACAACTACATCCTTCCAAGGGTAAGAAAATGAATCATCATTATCTGTGTAAATTCAGTACATCCAGGGACTTGGTAGAATCAAAGGTAAAAGGAATTATGATTTCCAGCTCTTCAATATTTATCACATTGATAAGCATTTAAAACAAAACTAATATTTAGCAATCTCAGATAGCTTAACAAAAGCTGCTGATTGGGACAGGACAGGTTACCCAAAACCACATGATTTCAATTTATATTTCTACTCCAGAAATGCGTACAAAGATATATATTCAGGGATATTTCTATCAGCATTACGTAATAATTTAAAAACATTGGAAACATTCTAAATGCTCAAGAATAGGGAAATAGGTAAGAAAATATTAGTTTGGCATTAAAGTGTTTTCAAATCATTTGACTGACATGGGAAATGCTTATGATATAATGTTAAGTAAGCAAAAGCAGGATAGACACTTGGTTTTAGAGTAGAATCTTCAATCTCTCACTACATATAATAAATATATTTTCAAAAGACTGGAAGGAAATTTTTCAAAATATTAACAGTGGTTTTCTTTGGGTGTTGAAGTAACTGGTGTTTCCTTCTTTTTACTTTGCTGTATTTCCTACGATGTATGTATTATGATGTGTATTATCAGAAAAATTATAAAGAAATGAAAGAGGAAAAATCCTGCTTGGATTGCAGTATGTGATATATATATATATGTGCAATATTCTGGATATATGAGGGCATAAAACTAAGTGTGTTGAATATATACCACATGTCTGCCATTCCTCTTAGCAGCAGATAGCCTAATGAATCTCAGGGTTCACTGAGCAAAACATTACACAGCTAAAGACACCCCCAACCACACACTTGATAAGGCATAGGAAGGGTATCCCAATGGTGTATGAAGCACCCATCCTAAGGGAGTGGAGGGTGGGGCAAACTTGAGTAGCAGTGTTGTTTTGTAAATAAATATGTTACTATCTTTGTCGCTGTCATAAGAATGCATCATTCTGGTCCATTTATAGGAATATTGGGAACCTAATTTATTTTAAAACATTAAAGAGATAAACACATTTTTATAATAGATGTTACTTCAATAGCCGTTATTGGTCTTATTAATAATATCCAGTTGTATTGGATTTATTATTCTTGCTTTAAGTCCCCTGAATTGATTTATAAGATATTGGGTTCTGAGAGTCCATAAGTTCTATTTCAGGCAATAAACATTAAAAAAAAAATTTTTTTTTAATCTGTGCATGCAGTAGGTGTTACAGAAATGCACAGGGTATCTACTGGTTAGGGCATCTACTCTATGACATTAAGAGTAGAGTCTAACAAGGCCTATTTTGCATGGGCTGTAAATTGATGTTTTGGGGAACCTTTCCCTTTTGCCTGCAGAAACAGCACCACTCTGAGCCTTTACATGCGGGGCTTTCCAAGTCTCTCTCTAGGCCAGTTCTCAGCCCTGAGCTACCTGGTGGGTGGCTCACTGTCAGAGCTAAGGATTCACCTCTGCAGATCTTTGGGATGATGCCTTTTTTTTTTTTAACTGTGTAATTTAGCTATTTGGAAAACTTTTTGTAATTATAGTGGGTCTTTCACCTTTTTCTTTCAGATCACTTTTCAGTTATTTTGGCTCTCTTTGTCTTAGAGCAGTAATTTTCAACCTGGGCCACCCAGGAAGCTTTTAAAACTTCCAGTGCCAGATGTACCCACGGCCAAATAATTTGGAGTCTCCAGTGGTGGGACCCAGAAATCAGTATTTGGTAAAGCTCCCCAGGTGATTCTATTGTGCAGGCAAATGTGAGAACCAGATTTGAGAACCTATTTTAAAGGAATAGTTAATAGGCGCTTTTTTTAAAAAAAGAAAAGGTTAATAGTGCTGATGGTTGAGAACAATGTGAACAGACTTAATACTATTGAACTGTACACTTAGAGATGGTTAAGGTGGTACATTTTATGTAATGTGTATTACTAAAAAAATTGGGGGAAAAAAACAAATTAGGGCACTCTAGAGCTGCACTGTCCAACATAGTAGCCACAGTAGTCATGTAAGAGAAAAATGCACACCAGATGTTGAAGACTCAGTGCAAACAAAAAAACGTAAATGATCGCATCAGTAATTTTTATAGTGATTATACGTTGACAATATTTTTTGATCTATGGAGTTAAATAAAATATATTACAATTAATTTCACCTGTTTCTTCTTGCTTTTTTTTTAGTGTGGCTACTACAGAACAGAAAATGACCTATGTGGCCCTTATTATGTTTCTGTTGGATAGTGTTGCTCTAAATCTAAACCTGCCAGTAAATGAATAAAAAGTAGCTTCTATATTTCATGCATTTTACATGAATATTATCACTTGGGGAATGAGAAAAAAATGTAGAGCAGCTTGGGACCAAAGAGCCTGTCTTAAGCGTGAAAACATTTAAAACAAAGGGAACTATTTATTCTGAGCCCTCGAAGGCATGTGAGCCACAGCACTGCCCCCATTATTGGGTGAAGAGGACTCAAGATGAGCTGGTGACCTGGGCCCAAGACTTTTGAATTCCCATCATGACACCCCAACCCCTGTGCTAACATTCTGGCCACTGGGACATCTTGGGAAAGTCAATTCTTTTTTTTTTTAAGATTTTTTTATTGGGGAATTGGGGGATGGGAACAGCGCTGGGGAATTGGGAGAAGGGGAACAGACAAGTTGCTGTCCTTTTGTTCTTCAGTCTAGTTGTGGAGGACGTTGCTTCACTGGCCCAAGTTGGCACCATCATTGTGCTCTTCCCGGGCGAGGCAGATCAGTCGCCGGCTTCTGGACGGCCGCTCATGCTGGCTGCTGGCTACACACAGTAGCCCATGGCAACCCACTGCCACAGGGGCTGCAGTACGCCGTCGCCAGTGGACTCACGGCAGCCCAGCTCCAGGTTGAGCTGTTGTTCAGCATCTTAGCTGTAGAGGGCAGTGTCACTGGCCCTCATATGTGGGATCTGAACCGGGGTCCTCTGGTGTCCCAAGCCAGCACTTAACCAACGTGCCACTAGGCCGGCCCGGGAAAGTCAATTCTTTACATTTCCCTTTCCTAGCAACCAAATTTAGATGATGCAAAATATCCTTTTTCCAGTTTCACTCTGATTCCTTAAAATGAAGAAACCTCACAGAGGAGCAGCACCAGGCAATTTCCCATCCCCTACTGAGTAATAACCAGTAACGTCCAGTAGGAGGTTACCCACAAGAAGGCAATCATGCATCCCATTAGAAAAGGACAAAGGCCCGCACTTGACTGTGCAACCCCACGGCGGTCTTTGAGAAGTCAGGAGACTGACTCCTCCCAGACCGGGCTCTGAAGCATCATCACCCTTTCCTAATCCAGTAGCATCGCTGTTTGCCAGATTCACATCACACCCAGTTTCGCTCCCTCCAGCTTGTTGCAGAGGCTTTCCTTGGCTCAGATCTGGAGATGGTTCCCAGGCATGACATACAGGCATGGTCCCGAGGCTTTAGCAGCAGTCTGACTGGCAAGCCTAATTGCTAGTAACAGCCAATAATTGCTTTTCTACCTATTCTGTTATTTCCATAATTGTCATCATTATTCATAATAGAGGTGATGAGGATGGCCTGGAGACTTCACCTAGAAAAGTTTTTAGACACTAATCACAGAAAGCCAGTGTACGCCTTAGGTACTTGTAGCTAACTGCTTTGTATTCACTCCAAGACTGACTGTTCAGAGGCTTTCTTTATGACTTGTTGCATAGATTGCTATCCTTGGGATATGGCCAGGTTTGATATGTGCTTTAATTTGACCTTTTTTTTTTTTATCATTTCTTAGAACAAAGGCAGAGTTAGATCAAGAAGCCTTGATCAGTGGCAATCTAGCTACAGAAGCAAATTTAATCATCCTTGACATGCAGGAAAACATTATCCAGGTGAGGACAACAAACACCTGATCTATTTAACATGAAGATGTTTACTGGGATTTAATAAAGAATTCTTTATGGAAACTTGGAAAAGAATTAAACATGATCCCAAAATGCCTTTTTTTTAAAAAAATGAAGTTGGGCAGTTGACTATTTACACTCGTGTCCAACTTACAAATTCCAGAGATAATGAACATTCTTTAGGCTTCTGTGACTTGCTGTTCACTGGGAATGAGTGACTTCATAAACTGACTCTTGTAGCTAAATGTGCCTGAGTGTATCAAGTTTATGATGTGGGCGGTGGGCTTAGAGTTCAGTATCCAAAATGGGGATGGTAGCTAGTTTCTTTTTTGCTTTGTTTTGTTTTGATGGGCCAACTCCAGTTGAATTATGATTGATGTCTGGTAGAGGAGCTAAGATTATGACTGGATTAGGTTTTAAAAAAAACAAACCCAGCATGTGCCTGTTTTGTACAAATTAATGAAGTTAAGTTATTTATGCCATGAATTTGCCATCCTTGCTGTAGAAAATTGTAGTGTCACTGTGGACGTGGCAGTAATACAATTTGTCACACAATTTCATCTTCTAAGTGAACGTTTCCGAAAATTCCCAAGACATCGAGGTGTTAATGGGTGTTTAGTTAACCTGAAAAAAATGAGTCCTTACATGTTTCCAATGAGAAATCATTCATTAGACTTTTTAGGGCTAGAAGAAGAAATATCGATGAAACACAGTGGCACCTTAGGTGTCCAACTTTTAAGTTGTGTAAAATCAAGGTAATTATTGTATAAAAATAAAGACAAAAAGTGTGTTGTATCTTTGATAACTTAGATACTTGGCATTACATTGATTATTATATCTTTATACAAAACTACTTTGAGGGCTGTATACTTGACACCCGTCCTCAAAATGTTTTTTTGCTATTTTCAAAGAAAGCCGGAACTTCTTTTTTGTTATCTTTGGTGGTGTTAATTTTACTGTAGCTGATAAACAAGCTTCATTTAGAAACATCACTGCCATCCAGCAGGCCCTATTGTGTTGGGAAGCCCATAGTTGTGTTTTGAAGCTCACAAGGAGAGCTGTGCCTTGTATATAAAGACAGAACATTCCAAAAGCTATTGCCCAGCATGGGGGCAGGTGTACCTTAGAATTTAGTTTAGCAGCCCAGAATTAGGCATACGTCCCAACTCATTTGGGCGTTTTGAAGTAAGTCCCGCTTGGAAATAAGTCTTCAGCTCACATGGTAATGTATGATCTGTGTGGTGCTTTACCAAACCCTTAAGCTCCTAGACAGAGATGGAACTTCAGCCTCTCTGTGTCTACAGCATCTCAGCATCTCACAAGTATCTACTTGCATCTTCTCCCCTCAGTTCACTGGCCCAGCACAGGGATTCAATGATGCTGTTCTTCTGTTCCCCCAGGCAAGCTCAGCTCTGGACTGTAAAGACAGCCTGCTGGGAGGTGTTCTCAGGGTCCTGGTGAATTCTCTGAGCTGTGACCAGAGCACCACCTACCTGACTCACTGCTTTGCAACACTCCGAGCTCTCATTGCCAAGGTAAACATGGAATGCATGTCTTCTTACCCTTAATTAAGATTCTCATCTGGCTTCACATTTCTCCCATCAGCAGCACCAGAACCCACAGAGTACTGTATTAAGGGACCCTGCAGTATAGGCCTTGAGTCTCCCCAGGAAGAAAGCAGATGCACTGCTTCTGCGGAGACTCACCATGGAGCGGAAGAACAGGGCTCTCACCCTTGAAATGTGGGCTGAGCTGCAGAAATTTGCGGTGGCCACTCACTAGAGACATGAGAACACAAAGCAACGGAGTGACCTTGCCTTTCACCCTTTTTCTTTCATAGCGCATCTTAGTGAAATTAAAGTCCTATACATGAGTCCCATTTGTGAGTCTTACCAAGTATCATGCTATAAAATGACAGGACAATTATAAATAAATTTCTCATGGCCTGAAGAATGTAGGTATTCCTTAGGTAAAATGGTCTAGTGCAGTTTACTTTCTCCTCCTTTGCTGAACATCTCAGTTGGTACCTTCTACATGGGCTCTTTTGCTTTTAGAAAGGGGAATTCTGCTCATCTGTCAGGATCATTTTCGCTGTCTTAGTCACCAGTCATTTCCAGGGAACCCAGTAAATTCAGGATAATCTCTTCAGAATTGTGACTTTGCCAGTCACAAAAAAACTAACCTGGCTAATAGGGCGATTAATTATGCAGCCCTGATCTTAGTTGTGCAGCTCGTAATTAAATCTTAAGTCACTCCATTGCTTCAATTCACCTTCTGACTCAAGTAGCTCATTATCTTTATGGAGCAGTGCATTTAACTCTTCTGGGCTTTTTGCTTGTCCAAGCAGACATTTGCGTATTTCAACAAGCCTCCAGTCCAGAAAGTGTGTGAAAGTGCCAAGCGATGCCTAATGGCCTTTTGTGTCTCTCCTAGTTTGGCGACTTGCTGTTTGAGGAGGAGGTGGAGCAGTGTGCAGACCTGTGTCAGCGTGTCCTGCACCACTGCAGCAGCAGCATAGATGTCACCCGGAGCCAAGCCTGTGCCACCCTGTACCTCCTCATGAGGTTCAGCTTTGGAGCCACCAGTGTAAGAGCTCAGACCAGTGGGGTGACCCAGGATCAGTAAAGTCAGTGCAAAGCATGGGTTAAGGAAAAATTTACAGGATTGCAATTGACTTCTGTCCTGTGTGAAGGAGACAATTGAGTATATAGACAGAGAGCAGCTTTTGTTTGAATTGGCATCCAAAAGTGAATATCAAGACTGATGAATACAGTGGTTTCCACATGTATTTCAGTAAAAAAAAAAAAAATATGTATATATATATATATGTAAATTAAAAGTTGTCATCTGTGGGAAGAAAAAACAACAGGCAGGTTAAGAATTCAAAAGAGTGTGTCCTGTTTCTAAATTCTGATTGACTGTGGAAAAGAATTTGAAATAATCATTGTCCTCAACATCTGAGTTTTAATATTATAATAGAAGCTGAGCAGCCTTTGGAGTTCAGTTTTATTGCAAAAGTCAACTTTTGCCTTCATTTGTCTAGATTTTGGTATGTTCTTTTGGAATTTTCATTTGTGGTCTTGTTAAGAGCATGGTCAAGTGATATTAAAAAGATAAATTGGCTCATGGAAGAAAGGCAGTGTCCTCAGGATATATTAAGCATAACTGTTAAAAAGCCTTTAAGACATTCCTCAGGGGCCTTTAGGGTAGTCATATTTTTCCATGGACCTGGAAGGAAAGGAGAAACCAATAGACACTGCTGACCCAGAGTCCAAAATCTTAGAAATCCTGGGCATGGAGATCCTCTTCCTTTTTGCAGTTTACATAGAGTCCTAAGAGGAAGAATCTTGGCATAGAAGGAGACATCCTGTGACCCAGCTTTGTAGGAACCTTCCAGCCTGGCAGCATGGACGCCGCCCTGGCCTCAATGAAAATTTAAAGGGAGCTGACAGATTTATGTCAGAGTGGTATCCATTTAAACCATTTAAACAGCAATATGAATCATGTGCAGAGTATACCCACATTTCATTAAGAGAGAAGGGGATGACTGGGACTGGGTAAGAGAAACATTGGGAGAGTTACTGGTGTCAGGCTCTACTGCCTTCAATTATCTACTAGCTGAGGGCCTCTGATTTGTTCCATTTTTTCTTTTTTCTGATGCAGAACTTTGCAAGAGTAAAGATGCAAGTAACCATGTCTCTGGCATCTTTGGTGGGCAAAGCATCAGACTTTAATGAGGAGCACCTGAGAAGATCCTTGAGGACAATTTTGGCCTATGCAGAAGAGGACAAAGCCATGCAGAGCACCCCTTTCCCTGTCCAGGTAGACTGCAGAGCTGGCCTTATATCATGCATGGGTTGGAAATCAACCAATTATAAACTTGTGTGTGTGTGTGTGTGTGTGTGTGTGTGTGTATGTATATCTATCTATCTATCTATCTATATAGATATATATATGTACAATATAACTGTATAAAATATATGGTTATATATTTATATATAAAATATATAAATAGTATATAATAATATATAATATGTTATTTTACATTTTATATATATAGACTGGGGGTGCCAAAAAAATGTGTACAAGTAGACACTTTGGTCAATGTTGCTCAAGCAGTAGTTTGCCATAATCAGAAGTGTCTGGACGCTGATGGTAACCACTTTGAGCACCGCATGTAATTGCAAAAGTCAAACGTGACTTGTATTCATCTTTTGTTATTGGTATATATTGAGTAGTACAATTTTAGTAGTTTTCCTTTCTTACAATGTGTATACGTTTTTGGCACCCTTTGTTTTATATATATATATATATATCTCCATCCTCCTACTTGGTATAAAAAGCCCTGGTGTTCCAGATTACAGTTAAGGGCTTTTCCGTTTGCAAATAACTGGAATTAGTTCAAACTAATTTAAACAAAAAGGTAATCGAGAGGGAACGTAGTATAAGGATTCAGGGCTAATTCATGGCTCCCCAGGGCCAGCTCATTCCTGGGCCTCAAAGCATCTGGACCTGGGAAGATGAAGGCTGCAGAGGACCCAGTCTAGACTCCCCTCCACCCACAATCTCTACTCTCTGAAAGACGCCTGTTCATGCCTGCCTCTTGCACTTTCAATGCAATCCTAACTCATTACCATGGACGATAAAGCCAAGATTATTTGGGGGTGTACACTTTTTTGCAGGTGGAGGAACTTCTCTGCAATCTAAATAGCATCTTATATGACACGGTGAAAATGAGGGAATTTCAGGAAGATCCTGAGATGCTTATGGACCTCATGTACAGGTAAACTTTTCTGATAAAATCAAAAGGATGTCACTTGAGCGTCTAGAGCTTGTCACTGTGGAGTTCTTATTAATATAATTATTAGAGGCCATGTGGGCACACTGTTTTGGATGACATCCAAAACTGTATATAGAAATTGGTAGAAATTAATCATTCAGAGTGAGTTCATTCATGTACAAGTTATAAGAAAGATCTCCCTAATTTAAAATAAGGCACCTATTTTATAACACTGTCTTCTACTTACCATAGAATGAGATAAAGGAACTATCAACTGTTATATGAATTATTTCCTATATGATTTTTTTACAATTATATTCAGACACACATGTACAGTTTTATTTAAAAATCATATTTTACTCTAGTTTAAAACTTTGCCTTACAGTCCTCGTTCAGGAAAAAACTAGTTACAGAGGCAAAATTATTCTGATATGAAATAAGACGAGTAGTACTTTTGTGTTCTTTCACTTTGAAAGGAAAGAAAAGAGAGAAAATTGCTAGAGATCCTTTGAAATAGCTATCATTTTATCAAGTCTTTATTTTCCCATAAAGTTTTCATTAAATGCTATTGCTTGGGACTCAGAACACCTTAGACATGGAATGAAAACACCTGGCCTGATAAACGTCGGCCCTTTCTCTCATATTCTGAACATGTCGGCAAAACTCTTGGGGGGAAAAAATATTCTTAGAAGAAAAAGTGGCCGTACGCAGTAGAAAAACAGTGTGATTAGCCCGTTGTCCTTGAAACTTTCTCACTCTGTCCTCAGAATTGCCAAGAGCTACCAGACGTCTCCTGATCTGCGGCTGACCTGGCTCCAGAACATGGCGGAGAAACACACCAAGAAGAAGTGCTACACGGAGGCTGCCATGTGCCTGGTGCACGCGGCTGCCCTAGTGGCTGAGTATCTGAGCATGCTGGAGGACCGCAGCTACCTGCCCGTGGGCAGCGTCAGCTTTCAGGTGAGGAGCAGTGGCTCTTAACTGGGGGCAGTTTTGCTCCCCCAGCCCAGTCCAGAGGGCATTTGACAATGTATGGAGACATTTTTGGGATGTTACAACTGGGGGTGGGAGGGTGGTTGCTGCTGGCATCTAGTAGGTATAAGCCAGGGATCCTGCGAAATTTTCATCCTGCAATGCGTAGGATAGCTCCTACCTCAAAGAATTATCTGGACCCAAATGTCAATAATGCCAACACTGAAAAACCTACTTCAGTGTGTTCTGTTTGCCTCTTATAATTGCATCATCTTGGTTTTTGGGTTTTTTTTTTTTTAATTATTGTTCACAATAAATGTAGAGCCAGTAGGCACTTCAGACGTTCCCAAGCACTTTCACATCCATGATTGCATTTGACCGCCCCATCACTCAATGAGGCAGACAGGGAAGATGTTATTACTCCCACTTCACGGATAAAGAAACTGAGATAGCAATTTTTGTAAGGTTATTCAAATTATTTCTCAAAGACTCGTAGCTGACCCAGTGTGCTTGCTGACAACCGTGAAAAAAATTTCCCAAACGGTTGGAGAAATGATTTCCCTCATGGCCCATTCCCTGGATTACACTCCACAGCTCTGTAGTACCCCACTCTCTAATCTGAAAATCAAGAAAGAACCAAAGGGAAAGGGGTAAGGGGCTGAATCAATACTTTCTTAGGATAAGCTGAGTATCACCCATAGCGAGCAAAAGGAAATTGTCTGCCAGGCCTGAATATTGGTTCAGGCTCAGTAGGAAGCTCAGTGGCCACTTGGACTGTTGCTGCTAAATAGCTTAATATAGTCTTTAGAGAAAACAAAAGTGTTATGAGTCCTTTTTTAAAAGAGATATCATTGGTCGAAATGACCAATCCTGAAACCATGAACAATATAGTACAGTAATGCAGCTCTTTTCAAGCCAGACTCACAAAGTCATTTACAAGTGTCTGTATTATTCTTGTTTGAATTTACATGGCTGATGTTATAAAAGGCTTTTTCTTACTATTGTCTTATTATTATTTAACACAATATTGTGATGCTGTGTGAACCAGAAGGAGAGGACCATTCAAAATCACTGTCACAGGCTCAGAAAATAAGTCACTGAAACTATTGCTGGTGGAGCCAAGAGCTTCTGATTTCCTAGAACATTGTTCACCTGCCACACTGGGGATCGCCTCACGTTATTATTAACTCCTCTTTTCTTATGGTCTTCAATAACAAAAAAATCTATTCCATCTTTTTAGTCTCAGCAAATATATTTTATTTTCAACTCAGAAGTATTTGTTATCTAAGCCAAAAATTAAATTCTCATCCAAAAAGCACAAAAAGATCACATTGGTTTTGAAGCACATACAAGTAAAGAAAGTTATAAAAATCATTTTAGATGTATCTGCTTCTTTCATTAGATTTATTTTGGCTATTTGATATTATCAAAGATGAATCTTACAAGTGCTTGTCTTTCAATTCCCAGTAAATCTTTAGGTTTATCACTTAATGTTGAATTGTATCATCCTTTTTTCTTGTTTCATTAA